CTTTCTTTCTTTCTTTCTTTCTTTCTTTCTTTCTTTCTTTCTTTCTTAATGTTTATTTTTGAGAGAGAGACAGACAGAATATGAGCAGGGGAGGCGCAGAGAGAGAGGGAGACACAGAATCTGGACCAGGCTCCAGGCTCTGAGCTGTGAGCACAGAGCCTGACATGGGACTTGAACCCACAAACTGCAAGATCACGACCTGAGCAGAAGTCAGATGTGTAACCACCTGAGCCACCCAGGCACCCCATCTACAGTGGTCTTTCAAATATTTACTACTTTCCTCTTGACACTTTTCACTCAGAAGATGACCTTATCTTTGTTTCACGGAACAACAGCAACAACAACCTGAATCCTACCTGATTGGAATTGTTTCAAATTTTTGCTCCTGAACCAATTTACTTGTGTTTATACCAATTCTTATTTGGTGTCATTCTGTTTCGCTCATAAACACACATCTTGTTATTCTGTGCATTAACTCTCATTCTGTCCTCTTTTTCAAGTGTCTTGTCTCTTCAGTGTGTCCCATTCTATTGCCTCCCTTTACTTATATTCAACTTTCCTTCAACCATATGTCCCCTTTAAAGTCTGTGTTCTTGGGGCGCCTGGGTGGCTCAGTTGGTTAAGCATCTGACTTTGGCTCAGGTCATGATCTCACGGTTCGTGAGTTTGAGCCCCGTGTCGAACCTGCTTCAGATTCTGTGTCTCTCTTTCTCTCTGCCCGTCCCCTACGCTCGCTCACTCGCTCTCTCAAAAATGAATAAACATTAAAAAAAATAAAATGCTAAAGTGTGTGATCTCCCATTGCATTCAAGGTAAATATCCAGGTTCCCAGCATAGCCATCAAAAATCTGGTCTCTGGTAAGCTCTTATCCCTGTGTCTTTACATTTTTGTAGGTACTTTTGTCTAAGCATTTCAGACGATAAATAGAATCCCCAACTTGCTAGAAATGCCTTTTGTGTAACCATGTGCTATTCCCTCTGAAGTACTTCTGCTGGAAGGTTGGAATACTTTCCCCTTCTGATGTCTAATTCCTGTTTGTTTTTTGAGACTCAAGTCTGGGAAACCTCAGCTGATCTGGCCTACCACAGCAAGTATGGGTTTGATACTCATCCTCCCAGCATCCTATACATTTCTCCATTATAATGTTGCATTTTACATTACATAATATGTTCTGCCTGCCTTTATTCTTTTGAATATTTAAACTTTTGAAAACTGTAACGTGCAGAAAAATCTTAACTGCACAGCTCTGAAGTTTTACAAAGTGAACACAGTCATATAACCATTGTGAAGGACTAATTGAACTCTTTGCAGCAGTCATGTAACCATTGCTCTCCGACAGAGTCATTCTCCCAAATACAGGATGTATCATTCAAGTATAAATTTTGCAAAGATTGTTCTATATTAGAAGCTCAAAATAAATAGATGAAAGAAATCACTTAAATTTTATATTTGTCTTGTATATAAATCCTTTTTGATGTATCAATTTCATATTTATCATTTGATGTATATTTTTATTTTAAACTAGGTATGAGCACTTTTCTTCATGTCTCAATCAAGTATTAGGTCTTCTTAATGGAAAGGATCCTGATTCTTCTTCAAAGGTGTGTAAAAACATAACTTTTTTGTTTTAAATTTTTGAAAACTGTAATGTGCAGAAAAAAATGTGCAGCTCTGAAGTTTTACAAACTGAACACAGTCATATAACTATTACCTAGATCAGAAAATAGAGCATTACCAATACCCTAGAACCCTCAAATCTTCATTCACTGGTACATTCCCCTTGGAAAATTGTTTCACGGTGCCTAGTGAATATGCATACACCTCGTGACACTGCGTTTCCACTCCTAAGCTACATAGCTAAGAGAGACATATCCATAAGCTCATCAAAAGACATGTGCAGGGGCGCCTGGGTGGCGCAGTCGGTTAAGCGTCCGACTTCAGCCAGGTCACGATCTCGCGGTCCGGGAGTTCGAGCCCTGCGTCAGGCTCTGGGCTGATGGCTCAGAGCCTGGAGCCTGTTTCAGATTCTGTGTCTCCCTCTCTCTGCCCCTCCCCCGTTCATGCTCTGTCTCTCTCTGTCCCAAAAATAAATAAAAACGTTGGAAAAAAAAAATTAAAAATAAAAAAAAAAAAGACATGTACAAAACATTACATAGAAAATGCAGCTTTAAAAATGACACGATTTCCTGGGTTTTTTTTTTTAAATGTTTATTTGTTTATTTTGGGAGAAAGAGCGCACACACCTGTGTGTGAGCCAGGGAGGGGCAAAGAGAAGGAAAGCGAAAGAATCCCAAGCAGGCTCCATGCTATCAGCACAGATCCTGACATGGGGCTCAATCTCACAAACAGATCATCACCTGAGCTGAAATCAGGAGTGGAACACTTAACTGAGCCACCCATGCACTCCTATTTTCTGATTTTTTAAAACATCAGATGCTTAGGGGATAAATTCAACACAACGCACACAAGGTCTCTACTCTGAAATTATAAAACATTGAGAGATAGGGGCGCGTGGGTGGCTTACTAGGTTAAGCGTCTGACTTCAACTCAGGTCATGAACTCATGGTTTGTGAGTTCAAGCCCTGTGTTAGGCTCTGTGCTGGCAGCTCAGAGCCTGGAGCCTGCTTCAGATTCTGTCTCCCTCTCTCTCTGCCCCTCCCCCACTTGTGCTCTGTCTGTCTCAAAAATAAATATTTTAAAAAAATTCAAAACATTGAGAGCTATAAAAGACCTAAATAATACAGATATACTAAGTTCATAGATTAGAACACTTGCAAAATCATAGCAGGCTTTAGTGGGTTTTTTTGTTTTTATATTTCTTTTTGTCTTTGGTGTATATGGAAATTGGGAAGCTAATTATAAAATTCACATGGATATACAAAAGTCCAAAAATAACTAGGGCCATCCTGGAAAAAGTGAACACAGTTGGAGGATTTCTAACACTACCAGATGTTAAGACTTAATGTAAAGCTGTAATAGTTAAAACAGTGCAATACTGTCGTAAGGATGGACTGGAACACAGTACAGTGTCAAACCAAACCATAGCATATGATCTCCTGATTAATACAGTGCTGTCTTAAAAGTATGGTCATTTCAGGGAGCTTGGGTGGCTCAGTCAATTAAGTGTCTGGCTCTAGATTTCGGTTCAGGTAATGATCTCACTCCCAGTATGGAGCCTGCTTAGGATTCTTTCTCTCCCCTCTCCCTCTGTCCCTCCCCTGCTTGCACACATGTCCCCCTGCTTTAATAAAATCACCTTTTTGCACCAACGAATAAAAAAGAAAGAAAGAAAAAGAATAGTAAAAAAAATTGGAAGCTGTTTTTAATTTTTGTTTTAGAATATTTTCTTTAAAAATATGTCATTTTCAACTTCATCATTTGGTTGCTTTGTGCATTACAGGCCAATGAAATTGACATTTAACGAAGACTTTATATTGCACAGGTTTTAGAATTACTTCTTGCCTTCTGTTCAGTGACTCAGCTGCGCCATGTGCTCACTCAGATGATATTTGAGCAGTCTCCATCTGGCAACACCATTCTGGGAAGCCGTTCTAAATGTTTAGATCCTACTGTGGCTCTACTTCGTTGGTCAAGCCAACCTCTGGATGGATCAGAAAACTGTTCTATTTTAGCTTTGGACTTGTTCAAGGAAATATTTGAGGTAATATAATGATAACCAAAATGCCTCTTCATTTTTATGATTCTCAGTGAACAGTTTACTTTCAAAAATATTCACAGTAAATTTCAAAGTGTTTATATACTTTATGAAAACTTTTCAAGTAACAAGCTCCCTACCATTGACCTACAAAATTTCCTTTTTTTGGGCAAAGTCAGGCACATTACTGTTTTCTTTTTTCACACTGAATAACTTATATGTATTCCTTTCAGTGTAATAAGTAAAGGTATTAGCTGAGATTTGTGTGGTTTATTGTTGTATGACTATGTTTTTTGCAGTAGTAACATTCAGCTTCTCCGTCTCAGTGGATACTGTTGACCATCTTTATTATCCTTTGAGTGGATTAATATAAGAACATTGGATTCAGTCACTCAGATGGAGTGGAACATGCCATACAATGCGAGGCACTTAGGATACAGACAAAAATTCTTTCTGTAGAGGCTATTACATTCTGGTAGTTTCTACTATCTAGGTCATTTAGCATTCTCTACTGTTTTCCCTGTTTTTATGCCATTCTGCCTAACACAGTATCTTCCTGGAGTGTTTCCCTTCATGACTGGATCCTAGGCACAAACAAAAATGTATATGAGTGATTAAATATATTTTTCAGAGATTATGCACAAATTATTCTTTCTGTTTTATGTTGGTCTTGACCGTTAATCAGTTTTAGCGTTTTAAAAAGCCTTTCAAGATCCTTGATGGGAATTATTTATGGTTGTAAAGTATTAAGACCAGTGATTGTTATTTAATTATGTAATTTCACTTGGCAAATTCAGGATTCTTGTTTTGAAATCACAGATACAGTCTAGTTAAAAGTCTTCTTTGTAGTTGAAGGGCACCTGGGTGGCTCCGTTGGTTAAGCATCCGACTTTAGCTCAGGTCATGATCTTGTGGTTCATGAGTTCAAGCCCCTCATCAGGCTCTATGCTGACAGCTCAAAGCCTGGAGCCTGCTTGGGATTCTCTCTCTCCCAGTCCCTCCCCCACTCATTCTTTCTCTCAAGAATAAACATTTAAAAAAAAAATTTTTTTTAAGTCTTGTTTACAGTTGAATAACCCCAAGCCTTACTGTTCCATTTAAGAAAAAAGTCATAGCCATCAAAACTGGGTAGATTTTAAATAGGAGACACAGGTCAATCAACTATTGAAGTAATTATAAGAAATGTGATGAGAGTGTTGCAGCTCAGTGATGACTAGCTCTGTGTTCTTTATTCCATCTTTATTTTGATTTTTAATCATTGGTGGTGGTTAATTCTCCAGGATGTTGTAGATACTGCTAACTGCTCCTCAGCTGACCGATTTGTGACCCTTCTACTGCCTACAATCCTTGATCAACTTCAATTCACAGAACAAAATCTAAATGAAGCTTTACTAAGAAAAAAATGCGAAAGAATGGTCAAGGCCACTGAAGTTTTGTTAAATATCCTTTGCTGTTAAAACATGGAAACTAACCGCTCATTTTTTTCTAGCATCACATTTACTGCATTTTTGTCTTTATTTGTAATTTTGTCATTTCTCATGCTTGCATCTATTCAGAATTACTGAAGTTTAAACTATAGAACTAATCCTCAATAAAGAGTGTGAAAAAAGTTATCCAGACTTTATTTTTTCCTTATTTTTCTTTGTAAAACTTTTGAACTAAATAATATTTTTAGAATACTTTTTAAACTTAATTTGGACATTTTTATCATAATTTGAGATTAGGAGATATATTCTAAAGTAACAGAACCGCTCTGTTACTCTAGTGCTAATTGCTGTCCCTGGGCGATTTGTGGTGCCACCGTTGGTAGCAGCAAATCAGAGAATAAACAAACATCAGTAGAGTCATTATAGTTTAGTTTATATTATAATTTTTACTGAAAATTAAAGTCTCTAGGAATGTTTTAATAAAGATGACATCACACTTGGTTATAAAAAAGACAAATGTTGTCAAGACAAATTCATTTATTTCTAAAAAAGAAAAGCTTGAGTTCAGTTAATGTCACTGCCTAACTTCCATATTGCATGCATTTTTCTTAGGTCTTTCCTTGTGCTAGCTGTTTTCTTTTAGATCAGCTGATTCTATGTCCATATGAAGCCCAAGTTCCATTTTTAAAATATTTCATTAATGCTTTCTATTATCAATAAGGAGCCATTATATCTAAACCATATCTCTTATATTATACCTGGTCAGGTTTTCTTTTTTATATCTCAGAGCAACAAGAATTTGCTCAACTTTGTCCTGCCCTAGAGCAAATTCCACATCTGTTTACTCTCTTCTCTGAGCTGCTGCTTCTTAATTTTTCTTTACCGCAGTAATTCCCAGCCCTGGCTATGTGTTAGAATTACCTGGAGAATGTTTTAAAAATACACCTGAACCTTACTTCCTTCCAGCAATTCTAATTTAATTGGAGTAATGTGAAACCCTGGGGGGGGTGGGAAGGGGGAGGTGTTGTGATTGATTGTTCAAACTGCCCAGGTGATTCTAACATGCAGCCAAAGTTGAAAATCACTGCTGTAGAGACACATGATTATGTTGCTTGATCCTAGAGATAGCTGTTATATGCAAACCTCAAAACTGGTACTATTCTGAGCCAAAGCCGACCCCTTTTTAATATAGATATTCAAATTAACTTGTAGTATACAAAATAGGAAAAAATAACTTTCCTTGGTTCAGCAAATATTGAACCATTGTGATAACCTGCTAATACTAACATCCGGCAGAGTAACAGACTTTTGGTCTCAGTCCCATCTCTTGCCACTTACCAGTCACTTAAATTCTCTGAGGTCTAGTTTCCTAATCTGCCATTGAGCTAATAATAATTGTATGGAAGTGGAGTGACAAGATACTTTGTATGAAATCACTCTAAATACTATAAAGTGCTATACAAATATAAGCGGTTTTTTGAAAATTTTTTGTTTGTATTCCTTAACAAAACTTACCTCTGTGTGGAGATGATACTCTAAAAATGCATGTTGCAAAAATTCTGACTACTGTCAAATGTACCACTCTGATAGAACAACAATTTACATATGGCAAGATTGATCTGGGGTTTGGAACAAAGGTAGCAGATTCTGATTTGTGGTGCGTATATGAAATCCAAATGGCACAGAATTAACGAAAGTTTTTTTCATAATTTTAAAAACATTCAATTCATAGTTTATATGCTTCTAAAGAAAGGATAATCTTAACATGTGATTTGTTTTCCATTGTTCATTTTGTGTTATTTTAATTTGTTATTATCTAAGGGTCTTTTATACTCCTTTTTAGGAGGCTTTTTTGACATTGCCTCAGGAATTATTTTTATGTTCATTTTAACCAAAAAGCATGGAAAAACAGTCATTTTTTTTTATTATGAGGAAATTAGTAGTTTTTGTACTTACAAAGGTTGTTCTTTTCACTGGCATGTCAGGACTTTCATTTAAAGGTGGATTTTCTCTGATAGTGATGAGATTATTTTATCCCCCTCCTCCCTCATGAATTAAGTCCATTAACAAGTCTTTAGTGAGGACCTGCTAAATGCTACATACTGATTTGTTCTGATTTCCATGTTGAAATTGTCAATAATTTGTGATCCTCAAGGACAAGGATTACCTTTTTTTACTTTTTTATACTGCCTTGTGGTACAAGGCTGAAAACATGGTTTAGTGTATTGGTAAATATTAGGTATTCTACACCACTTAAGGTTGCCCTTTATTGTTGATATTCCAATGACAGAGCTAAGAATTAAATAGGTCATGTTGTCAATGCTACTAGTAATTTGGAGCAGAAAATTGAAGCATGCTGGTATTTGAGTTTAGAAAAACAAACACTGTCTAAACTTAGGCTATTAATGCCAATTTGTTTTTTTGGACTTGGGTTATAAGGATGCTGGTCTCTATTGTATTTTTACTTCCCAAAAGAAACAATACTTTGGTACGCCTAGGTGGCTCAGTTGGTTAAGCGTCCAACTCTTGATTTCGGCTCAAGTTATGATCTCGCAGTTCATGAGATCAAGCCTATGTCGGACTCAGCATGCAGGGCCTCCTTGGGTTTTCTCTCTCTCAAAATAAATAAATAAAATACTTCATCTTCCTGAGGTTTAGAAACAAAAGTGTTGGTTTTTCAGAATATTCTTAGAATTATGACAGAAATCAATCTCTAAGCAGTTTTTTAGTTATCTAATTGAAATATGACTTATTTTTAAAGCAAACTTGCTGCTGATGTAGTTTTGAAAACTCTTGATTTGATGAACAAGCTTAAACCATTGGTTCCTGGCATGGAAGTAAGCTTCTACAAAATCCTGCAGGTGAGTTTAAACTCTTCAAATATTGAAGTTTATTCATACATAAATGCTTCCTAATGTGTGATTTTCTGTTTTAATATTCTTAATCTTTAGAAAATGTTTCTCTTAGAATTGGCCATCAGAAGACAATTGTTAGTTGTCTTAAGTAGCTGTAATGTTCCCAGTATATGGTGATTTTACATAGTTTTGCAGAAATTGAACATAAATGCTTCTGATTCTAATGTATGGGCTGTTTATGATAGTAGTGCTTCCTCAGCCTTTTTCCTTTCTTGTGTCCTACTTCATGTTTGTTTATTTCTACTAGTATTGCAGTGAAGAGGGGGTGGTATTTGTTTTGGAGTTTTGGTTTTGGTTGGCGTTGATGAGGTAGGATATTAAGAGGATAAAGGACACATCTGGAAGAAAAGGACTTGATTGTGAATGATAACAGGACGAGAGAGGGTGTGCAGAAAATAGCTAACTCAAAAATTTTGATGATAGTAGTAGCTGAATAAGAGCTCTAAATGTTTACCTTGATAGCCACAAAACCTGACTTACATGTGTGAGTTAAGTTACTATAATGATTTAACAAAGATGGCTCCGGGGCCTGTATAGAAGCCAAAACTGAAACCTTACACAGGTGCCACTTACACACTCTGAGAGCATAATGCTTAAGAGATGGAGTTCAGATGTTGACTCCACCATTTATTAGTGTGGACTTGAGGACTTGAGCAAGTTATTTCACTTCTCTGAACTCCAGTTTCCGTAACTACAGAATGAAAATAATGATCCCTCTCCATAGGAGCAGTTACAAAGAGTTACCATGAAGGTTATGGAGATAAAGCCCAGCTCTTAACATGGTTCTGTGGCCTTCAATTGTAACTGAGTACTTACAAGACACTCAACATAGTAAAATGTGGATAATTATAAAGGATTCATATTTTAGTATTTTTCTCTGTTAACACCTTAAAAATTGAATCAAACTGATTTTTATGTCCTTTAGGAGATGTTTTTCAGAATAAATTATTTGGGGCTTACAGTACTAATAAAAAATACTTGCTGGCATGAAAGACTTATGCTTGAAGTATAAATATTTCAGTTACTAAATTAGAATTTTTTTAGTTTGAATTTTATTCTTACTTGGAAATGATTAGTTATTATTTCTTATAGCCAGATTTTTTTTTTTTAAGGGTAGCTGGACAAACAAAATTCAAAAATCAGTCAGCTATGGATGATATTTTAAATTCATCCAAATATTGAAAATATGATTTTCATAGGCACAACAAAACCATTCAAAACTTTTGCCAGAAATTTTTAAAGCTAGTGTTCATATTGACTGTGTAGATAACTATAACTAGGTAAAGGCTAATAAATACATTCGAACATCAGGTAGAAACTGTTCACAATTTGCCTAGAATTATTTTATGATTTAGCTCTATTTACTCATCTTGCTCTAAAAAGCCTGACATTATTCTTTCTGCTTCTTGTTTTCTGGTTTCTGATTTACTTAGGATCCACGCCTGATTACACCCTTGGCTTTTGCTTTAACATCAGATAATAGAGAACAAGTACAGTGTGGATTGGGAATACTATTGGAAGCTGCTCCACTGCCAGATTTTCCTGCCTTAGTGTGAGTTGTAGTCATTTGCGGTATATCTCTCGTGGTTCTAGACTATCCTGCTATGTTTCTTTGGTAGTCCTCAATACAGATAGATTAGAAAATTTGTGAATTAAAGACATTGTAACAGTCAGTAATTTTTCAAGTGATTAAAAGAAAACTTGATTCCAGTAACTGAAAAGACCAGGTGTATACTCAGGGAAAAACTACATTTAGGTGGTTAAATATTTTATCCAGGCACTATGCCTCTCTGTCTCTCAGTTGCTCTATTAACATAGCAGCTTCTGAACCATGCTTTACATCCTATCAGTTTATTTCTTACAAGATAGAACAAGTTTCCCTGTGTCAGCTGTACTTAAAAAAAAAAAAAGGTAAAAAGACATTTAGGTTAGATTTGAGGAAAAACTTCCTCAGCTTAAGGGTTGTAGGTAACCACAGAATTGCCAGAGGATATGATGAGAACCTGCTCTAAAGGATTAAACACTTAATAAAGAACATAGCGTTTAGGACTAAAAAACTATCAACAAAAACAAAACAGAAAAGAAAACAAAGAACTTTCCCAGTTGTATAAATGATAAGTCTAAGCATCACTCTCATTGACCAGATCTGGATTGTTTTACAGATACCAAGGGTTCAGCCGTAAAGAACTATGTGGACTGAAAGGTTGGGTGCGGTGGTAGTGTTCCTAAAGAAAAATCCTGTGCTTTTTTTCAGAAAGTGGAATAGATAATGGCCAGGCTATACTCATTAATTTCAAACATTAAGAGAGTATTTGCTGTTATGTTTGAAAAAAATTGAGATTTTTGGACTCTCTGTAAACTAAATGGTTAACCAAATGTCCAGTTGTGTCTACCTTAATTTTAAAAAATTTAAGGGGCTTGGGGCACCTTGGTGGCTCAGTCGGTTAAGCATATGACTCTTGGTCTCAGCTCAGGTCATGATCTTACAGTTCATTAGTTCAAGCCCCACATCTGCACTGTCAGTGCAGTGCCTGCTTGGGATTGTCTCTCTTTCCCTCTCTGCCCCTCTCCTGCTCACTCACTTTCTCTCTTTCAAAAATAAATAAACTTAAAAAAAAACATTTAAGTGGCTAGTATAAATGAATTTGCAAAAGTGGTTTGAATAAACTGAAGCAAGTTGATAAGCAGGTAAGACATTCCTGTATGCTGGCGTTCTGAAAACTATAGCCAGCAGGCAGGCTGTAAATAAAGTTCTATTGCAACAAGAACATACCCATTCATTTTCATATTATCTGTATTTTCTGTGTCTACATTCATGCTATGACATCAGGATTAGGTAGTTGTAACTATTAAGCCTAAGATACTTACTGCATTGTCTTTTAAAAAGTTTGCTAACCTCTGCTATTTAACTAATTTAGCAAACTCATTTTTCAGAATTAATAATTTAAGTAATCCTAAATTAAGAGATTAAGAACTATGGAGAACAAGACCACATAATCAAAATTGTCTTCATTTTATAGTGAATATTTTTAAACAAATAAATGGACAAATAGAGAGCTTCTCAATTTAAAGATAGAAGTGGTCTGGGGGCGCCTGGGTGGTTCAGTCGGTTAAGCGTCTGACTTCGGCTCAGGTCATGATCTCACGGTTTGTGAGTTCGAGCCCCACATCAGGCTCTGGAGTGACAGCTCAGAGCCTGGAGCCTGCTTCAGATTCTGTTGTCTCCCACTCTCTCTGGCCCTTCCCCTCAAGCTCTGTCTCTCTCTCTGTCTCTCTCTCTCTCTCTCTCTCTCTCTGAAAAATAAATAAACGTTAAAAAAATTTTTTTTAAAAAGTGGTCTGTGAAGCTGCTTCATTTTGTGGTGGCTTGGTTGCTCCAACTTTGGTAATCTGATATAAAGGAAAGCCCCTGTGTTTCAGAATGGAAAGCTTCAGCTTCACTGAAAGTGGGAGTCTTATCCTCTGTCTCTGTATGTGAAATCTACCACTTTATATCTTGGCTGCCCCATTCTTACTGGTGTTGTCTATGTTTCTCTTTTGACACTGTTTAAGGTATTCATTTGTTTTATTTATGTCTGTTTTTGCCTTTGTTTACATCATCTTAGTTTAATAAGGTGAATTCATATGCTGGGTGGGTGGGTACATAAGTAGGTTTTTGGTGTATGTTTGTTTTATTTAGACATTTAACAAACATCTGGTGAGGGCCAGCAATGTGCAGGCCCTCTAATAGGCATTTTTTTTTTAATTTTTTTTTTAACGTTTTATTTATTTTTGAGACAGGGAGAGACAGAGCATGAACAGGGGAGGGTCAGAGAGAGGGAGACACAGAATCTGAAACAGGCTCCAGGCTCTGAGCTGTCAGCACAGAGCCCGACGCGGGGCTCAAACTCATGGACTGCGAGATCATGACCTGAGCCGAAGTTGGCCGCTTAACCGACTAAGCCACCCAGGCACCCCTCTAATAGGCATTTTTGATACTGCAGTAAATTAGACCAGGAGCCACTGTCATGTGGTTTACATTCTAGTTGGGATACAAGTTTAAAAAATTAAGTTTCATAATGTGCACTTCACTGTGGATGGAGGGGCCTTTCTGAGGAAGTGAATTTGAACTGAGACCTGATGATAAGAAGGAGCCAAGTCTATGCAGATCTGGTAAAGGAACAGCTCATACAAAGGCCCTGAGGCAGGAACAAGATATGGTAAGTAGAAGGGGCAGAATAGTCAGGTTGGTGAGAAAGTACTGACGAGAAAGGGCAAGACTGAAGGACATAGGTAAAGGACAGGTGATGTTGTCCATGGTAAGAAGGATGTTCTTACCAATAGCAATATCACTGTACTTAATTTTTACAATTAATCCACACTCAAAGACCAGTTCAAGTGCCTCCAAACCAGAGGTGGAATTGTCATTATAAGGGGTTGTAACTAGAAAAGAGTTTCTTCTGGCAAATTTTTAGGATATTTTCCAAAATTTGGCTTCATCATAAACTCCAAGATTATTTCAAAAACATGTGAAGGCTTATATTCCCAAAAAGATCCATTCTAGAGATTCCCTAATTCTATACTAACTTTGCCTTTTGCTCTATTTTTTGTAATCATTTGTTTTTCTTTTTGATTCCAATTCAGACTTGGAGAAAGCATAGCAGCAAACAATGCCTATAGACAACAGGAAACAGAACACATGCCCAGGAGAATGCCCTTGCAATCATTAAATCACAGTGTTCCAAGATCGGTAAAATGTTTAACTCCTCCACTTTTGAAAGCTAGAGTTCCTGGATTGAACATTGAGGAATTAATAGAGAAACTACAGGCTGGAATGGTGGTGAGTGGCAAATAGCCGTTATAAATGGGATTCTGCGTGGTACATACCAACTAAATATCAGCCCTGATTATAATATTTATTTAAGCAACTTTAGATGCAAATTTGAGCAATGAAACTTATCTTTTAATTTTTTTTTTTTTAACGTTTATTTATTTTTGAGACAGAAATAGAGCATGAGCAGGGGAGGGGCAGAGAGAGAGAGGGAGACACAGAATCTGAAGCAGGCTCCAGGCTCTAAGCTGTCAGCACAGAGCCCCATGCGGGGCTCAGAACCACGAACCATGAGATCATGACCTGAGCCGAAGTCAGACGCTTAACTGATTGAGCCACCCAGGCATCCCGAAACCTTTCTTTTAATATGAAAATAACAATATTCTAGAAAGTTTGGAAAGAAAGAAAAACATTAGCCATAAAATTATAACATTTTAGCACAGCAATCATTTTTCCCCCTAGTCTTCCCCGGGCAGCCCACCCTTACCCCTCTGTTACCTCCCATCTAAGAAATATATCCCACAAGCATATCAAATCCTACCCAGATACTCTTCTGCAATAATCAGGTTAGTGAAATGTTTGTGAACCACCTGATAGGACATTCGTATTTTTTTACATTGTTACTCATTAAATTTTAATGATTTAGTTTCACAGACATTTATTTTTTTTATTTTGTTGAATGTGAAAGCTTTCTGATTTTTGACTGTTAAAACTTAGGTAAAGGATCAGATTAATGATGTGAGAATATCTGACATAATGGATGTATATGAAATGAAACTGTCCACATTAGCTGTGAGTACAAGCTTGTTTTAACTATATGTAACTGTTAAGCTTTATTAAAGGTGTTTTCTGGGAGGTGATAAAGATTGATGGTATGTTTTCTTATAGTCCAAAGAAAGTAGGCTACAAGATCTTTTGGAAGCAAAAGCTCTAGCCTTGGCCCAGGCTGATCGGCTGATTGCTCAGTACCGCTGCCAAAGAACTCAAGCTGAGACCGAGGTGTGGACAATACAAAGATCTAGCTGATAAGTGGAAAAATAAATTAAGTAGTACATGTACAAAACTGTGATTCTATTTTTGTTCCTGTATTTGAAGTAAACCGTTCTCAGCATTTGACACGACTATTCCCTCCATCTTGAAACCCTCCCCTGTTTAATTTTGGTCACAACGTCAACTTCTGGTTTTCTTTCTGAATTAATGGATATTCTTTTTCTGTATCCTTTATGAATTTCTTTTTCTCCACTCAACCCTAAAATACTGGCTTTTCCCCATGTTATGTTCTAAGCCCTTTGCTGTTATTAGGTAGTCTATGGTTCCAGTCATTACCAGAATGTTAATGCCGCCAATTTTATGTGCTGAGCCAAGATCCTTTTTGCTCAGTAGTAAATGCTTCCTATATAGCTCTGTTTAAAAAATAGCAAATACTTCCCATTCTGTATAACCAGTCCTGAACTCAGCAACCTTTTTAAAAATTTATTCTTTTTTGTATGTTGTTCTGAAGGGTTTTCCAGACAAGAAACCTGGAAGTCACACAGTTACCTTCTGTAAGGAGTCCTTTACCAAATCCAGTTGATTCTACCTTCTAAATATTACTTTTTTCTGCCTTGTTTCTGTTCTTGCCACTATTTGCTACAGGTCAAATCCTTCATTTTTTTATATGAAAACATAGCAGAGCCTATACTTCCTACCTTCAGGCTGGAGCCCTCTTCTCAACCACCCTCCCCATGCATCCCAAGTCATCTGTCTTGTATTTTGTTCCACTCTCCCTTCTTCCTCCACAGTGAGCCCTGAGGCTGTAATCTGATTTTATTGCTTCTGTGCTAAATACTCTGCAGTAGCTATCCATTTTACTCAGAAGAAAGTTTAAATTCCTTAGTTTGGCACACAAGGATTCTAACTCATTCCGCATCTCCTGGCATTTCTGTGCATTTTCTGCAGTCAGCTATATTAGATTACTTTGCAGTTTCTTACGCAGTTCTGTTACTTTGCAGTTACTTGGCATACTCTTAGGTCTCCCTGTCTTTTTACTTGCTCTGCCATGTCTGGAACACTTTTCCTCTTTCTCTGCCTAACTCCTAATAATCCTTCAGGTTTTAGTTTACCTCCATTTCTTAGGAAGCTTTCTCTGGTCCTCTTCTTCCCACACTTGTGAAAATTGTATAACCCCACCTCGATCCTTGATGTCAGAGACTGTTTTATCTCCCGGCCCCAGCAAGCACCATACTCAGGTGCTCAGAAAGTTCGATATTGTGCTGTGTGCATCATCAGGAGTAAGAACTTACTGCAGTAGTATGAAATTTCCTAACAGACACAAATGGTATCTCAACAGTTTGATATCATTTGTAATGAATTATAATAAAGTATTTGACTTTTGAGAGAAGCATTAAAATCAATGACACATAGAATACCTTTACAGTCTTAAGTACAGATATTTTTAAAAATATGAATAAATATAACCATATGCTTTCCTTTTCTTTTGACATAGATTCATTTGTCTTGACTAATAGCATGTTGAATTTATCATAAATTCCAATAAGAAAATTAGTGATATTAAAATCATTTTGTCCTCTCCCTTCCCATAGCGCATTCTTACATTCTATATCTGTTGAACATGTCTTGCATTTTATTGGAGAATTTAATGTTTTACTCATTTTACTGGAAAGACTTATAAAAATAATAATGGGGTATTAACTGTTTTATAGACTGTCATAAAAATATAGAAGGGCTTAGGTTTTTATCTGGCATTTCAAAATAAGAGTATTTCTCAGGCTAATGAATGGTGGGGAGAGTTCACTTCTCATTCTAGTTTTCTGTTTCTTTAATGTTTCATGTCACAAATACTTTCATATTAAATTTAGATTGTATTCTCTGTGCTGATTTTAAGTGTTTTCTTAAACATCTGTGATATGGTTAAGATCTTATTCTTAATTCCTACCTAAAATGGAGAAAACTGATTTGTATAAATTTTATGGTTTGGAGTTGATGGCTAGCCCCAAGGAGCACACTTACCCTTTTAATTGAGTAATGTGTGTAGAGCTACCTTCATGCTGTTATAATTGTGTTCATTTCTGTGAATCTGACCATACCAAGATTGTTCTGGTCAGAACAATCTATTAAGTAAAAAACTATAACAGTGTCAGATTTGTTAGAACTAGTTAAATAATAAGTATGTGTGACTAATAAAACTTTATATAACCCAATAGATGCTAGCCTATTAGATATTTGGTAAACCTTTTAAATTGTAGAAACTGAGCATATTATATACATGGTAGAAAAGCCTCTGTTCTGTTTTGTTTGTTTTTAGGCACGGACACTTGCTGGTATGTTGAGAGAAGTTGAGAGAAAAAATGAAGAGCTTGGTGTGTTGCTGAAGGCACAACAGGTTGAATCAGAAAGAGCCCAGAGTGATATTGAGCATCTCTTCCAACATAATAGAAAATTAGAGTCTGTGGCTGAAGAACATGAAATACTCACAAAATCCTACATGGAACTTGTTCAGAGGTAAATGAATAAAGTAAATATTTCTGTGTAAAGTTAGAATCTAGAATGAACACACAACATTTTTTTTTTTCCTGTGGTCCTAAAATCCTTTTGTAAGCATTCCTATGTTCTGATAATTCCATAAGTTAAGTAATTGGCAGGAAACTTACATCACAGGTAAATGAAGTATTGCTTACTCAAACTCTGGGTCCAAGTCAGAAACAATTCAGGTCTCTTTGTTTTTTTTTCCAGTTGACTGTACTTTTTTCATGTGTTCATGCAGTCATTAGTCATCTGAGATGTTAGCACCACAAGAACAAGTTGAGTCTGCTTTGTCTGACAAAGTCGAGTCTGACAAATCCCTAGGGTCTGAAACAGTACATAGTTACCACAGTTTGTAATAAGTTGAACCATTTAATGGGCCATTTCTGCAGATCAAATGTGTTGAATATTGCATAGTATTCAGCCTAATAGCATGGAAACTCGGATGTTAGTGTTTAAATCATTGCTTAATTTGTTGTCAGCATTTCTTCTTAATGTTGTTGAATATGGTTTACTTATATGTATGACTATATATGTGGAATAAATTCTTATAGGTGAATTGTTGGTTAAAGGGTATGTGTCTTCAAATTTTTGATGGATTGCCAAGTTTCCTTCCAAAAAGGCTACAATAACTTACATGCCCACTAACAAAATGTGAGATTGTGTTTTCCTCCTCTGTTGAAATTTTCTATCTTTTAGGTCAGTTTTAAAACTTCTGAAATATAAGGAAGACCAGGAACAGTTATGTGTTTTCTACCAAACAATAAAAATTAAAACATTCTGGTTAATGTGTTCTTTGTTTTAACTTATATTTTAAGATTGGTAAGATTTGAAAAAATGTTTTGTCTACGCTATTAATACAGAGATACAGAAAATCTTAACTCTGCAAGGTCCATGTGCTCATTTGCCCATCAGCTAAAATGAAATGTAGAAAATGTATAGCATCTAGAAAATTTGTGATGCTAAAATATCCCAAATGGGATATTTTCTCCCAACAACTTGCTCCAAAGTTTGATTGTTTTAGGCAGCCCTGACAGAGTGGACTATTGTTGTTAAGTCAGGGTGTGAGAAAAAGTAAGCAGTGGTCCCAGAGAAATACGTGGTTTCCAGGAACTGCTGATGTTCAGATAGTGAGTAAGGGGCCAAGAGGTAAAACTCCTGCCTTAAAGGGCCATATGGGTAACAAATAATGAAGCTGGCTGGGGAAAGATCATTTATAATGGTAGAGACTACCTAAAGGCATTCAAATTTAGAATTTTATTTTTTTTAAGTTTACTTATTTTGGGAGAGAAATGGAGTATGTGAACAGGGGATGGGCAGAAAGAGAGGGAGAGAGAGAAAATCCCGAGCAGGCTCTGTGCTATGAGTGCAGAGCCTGAAGCAAGGCTGGAACTCAAGAAGTGTGAGATAATGATGTAAGCCAAAACCAGGAGTCAGACACTTAATTGACTTAGCCACCCAGGTGCCCCCAAATTCAAAATTTTAAAACTGTGTGGGACAAATAAAATACTTCTGGCCAGATTTGCCCAGTGCCACTATTTTGTACTTAATGACGTGAAAAGGACATTTTATACTTAAGATATTTGGGTGTCAAAGTATCACTTTAGAAAGTATTTCTGTGTTTACTTTGCAGGTAAAATAAGCAGGACTATTAGATGCAGAGCTCTAAAGAGACCAGAGAAGTTTTGTGTCCTCAACCACTTTGTTAATTTGACATTTTTAATTAAACATATATTATGCCCAAGAGGCTAATGATGGCAGACTTAAGTTTTATGTTTTAATAGACTTCATCGTTTTAGAGAAGTTTTTAAAAAATTTCTGGACCTAACCATAAAGATAACTATATAGCAAATTATGTAAGGCAATGTTATCTGTAAAATAAAGCTCTATATCCATAAATATGAGGTAAATGCCCTGCATATTTTCTTTTCATAGTAAATATTACCTCCAACATCGCCCAAAACATATCTTTAATATCTTTTTGAGTTACTATTCTTTCTTCGTGTCTTGCTTGTTCATAACATTCCTCTTCTTTCCTTCAGTGTATGCAGTTTGATTTGAAGTAATAATAAAAGGACACACAGTGTTTTCCTCATCATATGTTTTCCTCCATAAAAATATCAACTCATCTTGTCTTTTCAGGAATGAAACCACCGAAAAGAAGAATAAAGATTTACAGATCACATGTGATTCTCTAAATAAACAAATTGAGACAGTGAAAAAGTTGAATGAGTCATTCAAGCAACAAAATGAAAAGTAAAATCCCTAGTTCTTAATTCTAATTATTTTGGATTTTTCAAAAACAATGATTCCCTTTATATAGAACATTATTTTTACAGATAAATTAATAGAATTATAACTTATTTTAGATATAAAATACATTTTTGGCAAAATGTGAAGGTGATTATTATTCTTATTAACTGTCTCATAAAATACTTTTTGGAGAGAAAAAGAAATGAAATATTTCCTTGATGTTTTCTTCTATATTTTTATAACTTCAGGACTATTGCCCAATTAATAGAGAAAGAAGAACAGAGAAAAGAAGTACAGAACCAACTAGTAGACAGAGAATGTAAGCTAGCAAGTAAGTAGCTTCTTATTTAATAAATTGTCTATATTTTAACATATCTTGTGTTGGAAGAAAAATCAAAGCATGAATGGTTTTTATTTTGCTTTTTCATTATTTTCTACTTCTCTCATTGTTTTAAACATTAAATCACATTTTAAACAGCTCCCCTTTTCTTGCCATAACATTTTACAGAGCAGTTTAGTTAGACTGGTTAAATTGAAAAGGCAATATATATTTTTTTTAATCTGGGAGTTAAGGAAAGGATTCTTTTTGAAATGAGTTTTAAAAGAATGTAACAGCAGGTGGCAGTGCTAGGTAATTTTTAGTTACCAGCTTCTCAATAGTAGTAGCTCTGAAATCCACAAAAAAACATTTTTGTTCTAACTCACTTGCCTTAGAATACAGACATCTGCCTATATAATTTTCATACTTTTCTCCATCTCTCTTCCCATTATAATAGGAACAGAGGAAAAAGGAAAGACATGGAGATTTGGCATTTTTTGTTTAATACTGGCATAGGGGAAGAGTTAGGTGGTGTTTTTTATTTTTTATTTTTATTTTTTTGTTTTAATTTTTTTTTTCAACGTTTATTTATTTTTGGGACAGAGAGAGACAG